GGCCGCCCCCTCCCCTCCCGCTCCTCCGCCGGGCCCCCCGCAGCCGGAGGGCAGCGCTCCCCTTCCCCCGGGGGCAGCTCTCGCCCCGCGGAACGGGGGGTGCTCGCCTTTCGCCGCACACCAGCCGTGGCCGGCGGTAACGGGGAAGTCTCGGTTACCCCTGCGGACGTCCCGCGCCTGAGTTTTGTACCCGCAGCCCTTCGGCCTCCTGCGCGTGACAGTTTAATTGCGAGCTGCAAGAAAAACAACTGCAAGTTGCATGAGAAAGTATTTCCTTTTTGCTGCAATTTCACACGTTGTATCACCGCCTTCCCCCTTGGAGTGTTGCGGTGATGCAGGGAGCGCAGGGGCTGGCAGCCACGGCCGTGCTTTATCACAGATCCCGACTTTCTAGGAGCTTTCCCAGGCCCTCTTCCCATCCCTCTCCGGACCTCTCCTGCCTGACAACATCCAGCTCCTCTTGAGCTGGCCCGCGGGAGCAAATGGGATTTCCTGAAGCTGCGGGCGGCCCGTCTGCTACCTGCCACGGGGCTGCGGGAAAACATAAGCCAGGCCAGGCTTTCCTCCTGGTCTTGCCACTTGACTTTTCCACCCCCAAAGTGACATTTGTCATTCAGCACAAGCATCGGAAGCGTTTAATCTGCACGGCTCCTTCATTCGGACACAGTTTCTAGAGATACCATCGTTTCTATGTCTGCCGCACCTATCCAAGATCCCTCTTAGCTCCAGACAAGCCGAAAGGGAGAATTTAATTGTAGCAAAGTTAAAAGATTTGATTACAAATTTGAAAATGACAAAAGTAATGAAAAATAGCAACAAAATAAAATACCACGATGTTAAAATGTACCACCATCGATCCCTGCTTCAATGCCCCCCAAGGTTTTCCTGAAGCCTCCCTCCACCGTGAAGGCAAACAGGACGAACCCCGTTAATAGAATCCTAGTTTCCAAATGGGACACCAGCCCTTCCTCCCGGGTCTGCCTGGGGATTTTCTAACCCCTACGGAATAAAAGTGAGGCTTTCAAAATGTGTCTCAAAAAAATCCCCTTGTTTCCCCCCGCACTACGCCGCAGCCTTGGCTCAGGGCCGCGATGCCTGCAGCAGCGCCGAGGGACAAAAAGCCTCCGCGGCTGCAAGGCACCAGCCCCCGCGAAAGGTGAGGGACCCCCCGCAGTTCTTCTTCTTCGAAGGTTTTCCTGTTTGATAGGAAGTTAAATAAATGGCCTCCATAAGCCGACGTGGTCGTGGTTTTCAAATCACACTGAAAAGTTTTTTCTTCTCATGGTTGAAGGGTCTTTTTCTCCCCAGCTCCTTACACATCTCAGGGCAACACAAGCAAAGAGCACCCACGCGGGGCTCGGGCCGCCGCTCGCTCCCTCCCACGTGCATCACGCAGGGAGCTTCTCCCACACCCGGTAAGACGGGGCACGAGGCAGCCCCCCTTTCTCCCAGTCCCCATTCTCTCGGTGCCCTCCCACCATACTTGCCTTTCTAATTTATTTTTTTAATTATTATTTTCTGGCCACAGAGGAGGAGCAAGCAGAAGCACTCACAAAGATAAGGGCGATTATGTCCTGCTCTGTTTTTTGACCCATCGGCGTCAGCTGTATCACTTTATATCTGCTGAGGTGTATGATACCATCGCCCGCGTCTTACAGCAAAACGCCAAATTTCATTTCTCGTCATCGCTTCCATCATTTTCGCTCCAGTTTCTCTGAAGCTCTTCAAAGTCCTTTGGACCGGAGTCAACCTAAATAACATGTAAATAATTAATCTTTTAAATAAATAACATCCCATCTGCAAATAGCGACTCACTCTGTACACGGGTTAATAAATATGTTAAATAACGCAGAAAGGGCTACAAAACCTTGAGCCACCTACTGCCACCCTTTTTGGGGAAGAAAAGCGGCTACCGATACTTACAGGAGCAGCAGGATTATAGCTCTGTCGACGCTCAGTCCTGCTGCTGCACAAATACAGGAGGGAAAGATGGTCCCCGAGCCCTGTGAGCTTTTTATTTAAGACAGAAGAAATCATACATGGAGCAATGGAAAAGAGAAGGCTGTACTGGTCAGTGGGATAAGCAGCAAACACTGCCCGGAGCAAAACGCCTCGGAGCATACGCTTCACCGTCTCTCGGCCTGTCTCCATCCTCCGCCCAGGCTCAGGCCGCATCGAGGCACCGCTGGAAACAGCCCCATAAACTGCTGGATTCTGGGAGGCCAGGGGCATTATTTGCCCTAAAGATTTGTGAACAGCCCAATAAAAAAAACCACCATTATGGGAATGCAATAGGAAAATGAACTGCAAAGTATCGGATGCTGAGCGAAAACCAAGAGGGATGATCCGAGGCACCGAATGCCTTCGGCAGAGGCCCTGAGCCAGGAGAGATGCCACCGAGGAGGTGAGTGTGACAGATCTCTGAAACTGCACCAAAACCACGGTGAAAGCACACAAACAGCGATTTTCACTGCCTTTTCCAGCCAAAAAACAACCTGTGGACACCAAATTAACCTGGTGGCAGCAGGATGCTGCAGGGTCTGGAAGTTTAAACAGGTTCAGAAGGCAATTTGATAAAATTCATGGGGAAGACACCTCAAAGATTGTCCTGAACACCAAAGCACAGGCTGCGGCTCGGGACGATGCTCCAGGAGCTGCTGGAGGCCGGGAGATCGGGGTGGGGGGCTGCGGCCCGACCCAGCGCAGCTGCTCTCGCCCAAAATAACCCCTGGTTTAAAAATTCATAAGAGATTGGAGGAGGCCTGAGAGCGAAATGGTGCATCCACAGGATTCACCGGTGGTTAAAGAAAGCACTGAGGCTACAGACATGAGTGAAAAAGCCAGATCGTATCTTCGCGTCCATTTTCATGAGCAGGCAGACCGGGGAGGCGCCTGTTACAGTTTTTTTTCCTGTTAGCAAAAACAAGACAACAAAAAAACAACCTATGCCAAGAGCTGAGGAGCTCAGCAGACGACGCTGTCCCAGGGCGCTCCAAGCAGCGCAGTCCCCCCGCCCGGGCGGAGGTCTCCGGCAGCCCAGAGGAAGACAGCACCCTCCAAAATGCCCCCGGCGGGGAGCGCGGCCCCTCCCTCCCCCAGGGGCTGCGGGCGCGCAGCGCGCTGAGCGCCGCGCCCACCCCACGGCCGGGCCGCGCA